AGGGTGGTGAGTTTGTCAGTCATTCATTTAAAGAATTTATGCAATCAAAAGGAATGGTTCATAGAATTTCATGCCCATACACTCCACAACAAAATGGATTGGTTGAAAGAAGACACAAGCATGTAGTTGAAACAGCAATAACTTTGACGAATGCTGCTGGGTTATCACAGGAGTTTTGGTATCTGTCTTGTGCACATGCTGTGTACTTAATAAACAGAATGGCCTCTATGTCATTACAAATGAATTCACCTTATTTCTGTTTATATGATAAGCATCCATCCTTGAAGGATTTGAAAATATATGGCTCAGCTATGTTTCCATACTTGAGACATTATAATGACAGTAAATTTCAACCTAGATCCTCAATGTGTATATTCTTAGGATGTTTCGGGTTATAAAGGGGCTATTTGTTACAACTTGCAGATGTAGAAATTGGTGTTATCTAGACATGTTATCCATGATGAGTCTGTGTTTCCTGCAAAGTGTAAACCCTCTGTGATGCCGAGTAGTTAATATGTACCACTCTCGGTCAGCTCTACTCCACTTATAGTTCCATTCAGAGCTTCAAGTGAACATGACAGTATATCTACAGAGCAAGTTCAGTCACAAAGGCAAGAATCTGGAACACAGGAATCTGAGTCATTAAGCTCACATCCTATACAAGATCTCCATCAACCCTTGTCATCTGTCTTAGATCCAGCACATCTTCAGGTATTACTTCCTATTTCTGTGAGTGATTGGAATCAATCCTCTAGTTCTATTCCTGCTAATACTTCTAGAACACACTCTATGATAACAAGACTTCAAACTAGAGCAATTGAGAAGAGAGATTATGCTGCTTTTTATGCTAGCTCACCTGAATTACAGTCTTTGGAAGTTGATGATGGGTCTATGTGTTATGATGGATTCTCTTTTCTGGCTGAGAGTGTTGATTATGAAGAACCAAAGGCTTTTAAAGTCACAGCTACGAATTCAAATTGGCAGCAAACTATGTAAGATGAGTTTAATGCTCTTAAAGGGCAAGGGACTTGGGTTCTTGTACCTCCTCCTCATAACAGAACTATTATTGGGAGCAAATGAGTATACAAATTGAAGAAGAATCCTGATGGTAGTATATCTAGATAAAAGGCACGTTTGGTGGCTCAAGGTTATACACAAGAACACGGTTTGGACTACTCCGAAACGTTTAGTCCAGTGGTATGACACACTACAGTGCGATTAATTCTTGCACTTGCTACAAGTTACAAATGGGAACTTCGACAACTTGACATCAAGAATGCATTCCTGCATGGTGAGTTGCAGGAAGAAATATACATGAAGCAACCGCAGGGTTTTGTCAATTCTAGAGCACCCAACCATGTTTGCAAACTTGTTAAATCCTTGTATGGTCTTAAACAGGCTCCAAGAGCCTGGAATGCTAAGTTCACAGGTGTGTTACCATCTATGGGGTTCACTGTTTCTCAGTCTGACACAAGCCTCTTTATTAAGACAGATGGCGAGGATATTATCATTTTACTCCTGTATGTGGATGATATAATACTTACAGGGTCGAATATCACCAAAGTTCAGGTTGTGATTACTGCTCTCAGTGAAATATTTGATTTAAAGGACATGGGAAGACTCACATACTTCTTAGGGCTGCATATTCAGTATAAAGGCAATGGAGATATGTTTATTAGTCAGACCAAATATGCACAAGAGCTTATAAAAAGAGCAGGAATGGAGAATTGTAGGCCTGCACCAACACCTTCAAAGCCTCATACTCAGTTACTTTTATCTGCGGGCCAACCTTTGTCTGATCCAAATGTCTACTGAAGTATTGTTGGAGCACTTCAATATTTGACCTTCACTAGGCCTGATATTGCTCATTTTGTCAATGTTGTGTGTCAATATATGACAACTCCAACTGATGCACACATGTTCCTCGTAAAACGGATACTAAGATATCTTCAAATGACTCTACAGTGTGGAATTACATATCATTCAGGTGCTGATATTCACATTTCTGCCTATTCCAATGCTGATTGGGCTTCTGATATCAACACCAGGAGGTCAGTCACCAGTTATGTAGTCTTTCTTGGTTCCAATCCTATTTCGTGGCAATCCAAGAAGCAATCATCTGTGTCTCGAAGCTCAACAGAAGCTGAGTATAAAGCTCTAGCTAATTGTGCAACTGATGTGTGTTGGATACGGTCCCTAATGAAAGATCTCCATCAGGTCTTACCTGCTCCTCCTGATTTGCACTGTGATAGGATCTTAGCATTGTCCTTTAGCACAAATCCTGTCTTCCTTTCCAGAATTAAACATCTTGATATTGATTATCATTTTGTTCGTGAACGGGTGCAGAAGAAAGATATCGTGGTTCACTATATCTCCGCAGACAATCAAGTTGCAGACATTCTTACTAAAGGACTTCACAATCCTATGTTTGTTAAGCACTGCATCAATCTCAGCCTTGGTGTTCCTGGCTGCGATTGAGGGGGGGTAATAACGAAAGTACAAGTGTTGAATATTGATTGGTTAGGATGTAATAAGGAGAGGTGTAGAGGAGTGCCACATAGGCAAATTAGTTAGGAATGGAGTGTTATAAAAGCTACTGTACAAACGTTTACAATTCATTCAATTCAGTTGGTTCTCTTTTCTTTTCCGCTGCTTATCTTCTTTCTCTCTCTCTAAAACCTTTCTTTCTCAAGCTTCTTGAATTCTTCGATCTTCTCTGTTCTTCATCTGCTAAGAGTGGAGTTATCAAAAATAACACTTATCTTTTGTGTCTTTTATAAATTTGTATTTATTGTGTCTCATATATAACACTCATACTCTACTAATTTTTGTTACACAATCAATCACGCACATGTCATACTATTCATAAAGTGATTCAAAGAATTCCATGAGCTTCATTTATCAAATTTCTGCTCTTCATGGAAAAATTCTTTTCAAAAAGTTGAAACATCAATTAGTGTAAATAACATTAACCACCTTTGAATTTTTTTTCATACGTTTCTAATCCCGCAACAACGCGTGGGCAATCTTTCTAGTTGGTATACTGAAACCGAACAAAAAGTGATGTTTCCAAATTTCTTTTTAGCCTGAGAGTGAAAGCTTATTGAGAGAGCTTGCAACGAGAGTAAGGGGGAGAGCAGAGAGCACAAAGAGCAGAGCTCTGCAACTGGTTTCGTCGATGGGCTGGAAATGATTGATGGGCTTGTTTCCGACTAAATTATTTCTTGTTAAATCATGGCTAGAATACATGAAGCCATGAAACCAATTGGTCCAAGAACAATGAGATAATTTTGTTTCTACTTCGTACCTCAAAAAAAAAAAAAAAAACCATTGACACATAGTGGTTAACATTCTTCGTAAAAAACTTACACAATGTTCCTCTTTAATGTAGGACTAAATACATTTTACACCATTTAAGTTTGAGATGATTTTCAAAACAGATGTGAAATGTAGTTAGCCCTAAAACCCTAAAATGTTTTTCAAGTTTTGACATGAATTGAGAATCATTTGGTGCAGGTATGGATCCAATTTTTTTCGTCTTTCACTTCTATTTTACGATCAAGGTGGGTCAAGTCAGCTTTTGGTTTTAGTATGATATGCTAATATATAAAAAAAAAAAAAAAAAAAAAAACAGGTACATGTGTTATGATTTAAATGAAATGAAAACACTACGTGATGGTTTTTTGGTAAGCCGAAAAATTAAGAGAGATACATATTTGTTTTCAATAGCAAGACTTCAAACAAAACTTAAGAGATCTATAACTTACATTTACAAGCTGCAAACATAAATTTCTGTTTACGAAACTTAAGGAAAGTAGCTTGAGATCTCTAGTTTCAACAATATTAAGTACAAATAACTTCATCTAATAGTTCTTCAAAGATCAATAATAAATAGGTTTATTTACAGATCACATAATAAATAGATTTATTTATAGATTTGCCCCTTAAAACTGTCTTTTAGCCTCACTTTGTCCTCCAAAACTGCCTAAATCGAGCTATTTCACCCTATTTCCGTCAATTTTGTCCCAGACGTTAAATGGAAGAGCATTCCGAGCATTTCATACCATGCTAGTAGCAATGAGGTATTGTAGTGGGCGAGATATGAAATTTCCGGACTTTCCTAAACCTCTAAAACTGCCAAATCGCTACCGGCGTGGAAGTAAATGGTGAAATGACTCGATTTTGGTAGCTTCAAGGGTTAAAGTAAGACAAATTTTGTTTCAAGGAAAAAAGTGAGACCAAAGGACACTTTTAGGGGCAATCAATAAATAAGCCTAATAAATATTCTCGAAACTGTTACAGGGTTCATTAGAATTCAGAGTTTACTATCTAAGCAAACTTATTGAAGTTCTATTCATGATCTTAATATTACATTAATCCAAATTTGAGACTTTGCTCAATATTAATCTAATGTCGAGCTGCATGGTAGAAATTCCCAGCCATTAATGAAATGTAGTGGAAGTTGGAAGTAGAGGTATTATCTAGAGAAATGTAGTTATTACAAGAAAAGAAAGGTTGGCAATAATACAGGATAAACGACCGGTGCCATCTTCAACACTTACCACCAATTTTGATTGAAATTCTACAACCTCCATCTATTAGACCAATCATCGTCGAAATTATATCGGCTTACAAACATCAATAGATAAAAGCTAAAGAGTAAAAAGGCGCGTGTTGGGCCAGCTACGTATAGTTTAGGATACAACTCTAACACATTCTTCACAAGGGGGCATCTAGCAAAGTTGCATACCTGTATAGTTTAGGATACAACTCTAACACATTCTTCACAAGACTACTTACTCTCACTTACTTAGCCCTCTTCTTGGCTACTTTCTTGATTACTTGGTTTCTTACAAGCTTCTTCTTTACACATGCATACATATTTATAGTTGATACTAGTGCTTAATACCCAGGCATTCCCGCGGATTTGAAGTTAAGATAAGATGTTAAAAATGAAAAAATTTCGGTTACAAAATAGGAACAACGATAACAACAATGAATTTGGAAAAGCGTTAACTGGTATTGTAGCAGTTCTACGTATTTCTGGACCAGGAGGATTACATTCAGTTACAAAAAATAGAAATTCCTGGTATAAAGATACAAAAAACATTATAATAACTGAATTTCTTCTAATAACCCCATGTAATATAGTGTATTCTAGCTTTTGCATACAAAAAATGAGGAGATGCTGTTGTATGGGGATGCAAAAAATATTGTTGAGTTTTGGGCAAAAAAAGATATGTACAAGTTTTTAAACATGTTAAACATGATTTAATATAGATAAACAAAACATGGTAAACTTTCTTGATCAGAGTAGTGAAAGGTGTCTTCAGCCCTTGTTGTAATTGATAAAGCAACTTGAACAAAGAGGAATAAAACAGAACATATTTAGATAGGATTTAGTATCAAATTTAAATGGTAATGGAGGAAAAGATAAAACAACTTGAAAGCATACTAACCAAATCATTGTTTCCAGTGCTGCTGTGTGGCTTTGCCTGAGTAGGAGGTATTTTTTTTTTTAATAACTTGATCGGAACCTCATCACAATCTCTTGGATCAACTTTTGAAATTTCTTCAGATTCATTGAGTTGAATGATTATGCAACATTAATATAGTTTTTCTCAGAAAGAAGAAAAGATGGTTCCTAGTTATAATTCATAGTATTGAAAATGTTTGATATGTAAATTTTAAGAAAGTTGAAGTGCACACATGGAAATTTTTTACAACATGATGTAAAAATATAAACATCATATTTGAGAATAGTATGAAATTAGATATCAAACCTTTGTTCACCAGGAATGAAAAGCGCTATTCTCACAGATTCTCTTTTTCGTTTATAAGATTGATCACTTGGTTCAGGTGTTGAGAACCATTCAAAAACAAAAGAAAAGGATTGGCAAGAGCGAGAGAAGCAAACAAAGACAACGAAGAAAGCAAACGACAACCAAAAGCAAGAGAAGCAAAGAAAAACAACAAAGAAGAATTGAAAAGAAAACAGAAGAAAGAAGAACAAAAGTAGAGATACCACCTTGTGGCGATGACTGACAAGTGGGCGGGTATCAATTTTTATTGTTTGTTATGCCACAAATCATGTGGCCCGGTTTTAATCACATTTTTTAAATATTTTTTTGTCTTCCTATCAGATAAACATGGGTTTAAAAAGTTAAGAAGGTATAAAATTTTTATTGTTTGTTATCACAGAAAAATTTAAAAAAAATGTACAATGATAAATTATACATATACTAAAATTCAGTTCGGTAGCACAATAAAGAACAAAGAAAAAGTCACTTATTATAAATCACCTGCTTTGCTTATGTTTGAGCAGCTCCGGGAATCGATGGTTTTCATATCCTGCACATTCAGACTCTTAACTTCGCTAGCTTTATATATGGCTGTAATTTATCGATAGGAGTTGGAGCTATATTTTTCATTTACCCTGGTCAAACAAAGCATAAATTTTTTAATTTCTCTTTCGTTCTTTATTTATTATTTCCTATTTTCTCTACTATAATTTAAACATCAAATTCATCCAAAAACAGAATTTTTTAATAATTATTTCCTATTTTCTGTGCGCTAAATTAAACACCAAATTTACCCAAGAGCAAAAAATAAGCAAAAGTAAGTGGAAAAAAAAAAAGAAAAAGAAAAGAAGAACAACATACCAGAAGTAGAACCAGTGCGAAAATGGCAACACAACACTTGGGAAAAATGAACAACACCGTTTCCTGAGAAAACAACAGAACCAAATCATGCACCCATAATAACAATAACGACACACAAACGAAAAAAAGATGAAGCACCGTTTGCTAAAACGCGAAAGAAAGAAGCAGAAAAAGCAAAGGAAAAATTGAGGAAAGAAAAAGATAAAAAATGAAAGATGCTAATTAGAGCTTATCTTTGGGGCTTCATTTTCTGATATCATTCTTCTCACCAAGGAGGAAAATATATAATGTACAAGAGTGATTTACAAGGAAAGAAATAAACATCAAATAACCTAATTATAATCTGATTATAAGGACTCAAAAAGATAACTAAACTAATTACAAAAGGTCAACTCTCCAACACTCCCCCTCAAGTTGGTGCACAAATGTCGTTCATGCCCAACTTGATAAGAGAGTTGTAGAACGCTTGGCTTGCAATAGCTTTAGTTAAGATATCCGCTAATTGATCCTCTGACTTTACGAATGAGAATTGAATAATATTCTCATCCAACTTCTCCTTAATGAAGTGTCTGTCAACTTCCACGTGTTTTGTGCGATCATGTTGAATTGGGTTGTGTGAGATATCAATAGCTGCTTTATTATCACAAAATAAATCTGAGGCTAAATTCGAAGGATACCCGAGTTCACCAAGTAACCTCCGAAGCCATAATAGTTAACATACTCCTTTTGCCATACCCTTGTATTCCACCTCTGCACTTGATAAAGCAACCACTTTTTGTTTCTTACTCCGCCAAGTCCTTAAGTTTCCTCCCACAAATGTAAAGTAACCAGATGTGGACCGACGATCAGTAACGTTGTCTGCCCAATCTGCATCGGTGTAACCCTCTATTCGGCAATGATCATTCTTAGAAAACATGATGCCTCTACCTGGTGAGGACTTCAAGTATCGTAGGATGCGTTCAACTGCACCCATATGTGCCTCACTAGGAGAATGCATAAATTGACTAACAGCACTTACTGCGTATGCAATATCAGGCCTGGTGTGAGATAAATAAATTAACCTCCCAACTAACCTTTGATAACGATATCTGTTAGTGGGAACTTGATTAGGGTGCACGGTAAGATGGTGATTTTTGACTATAGGGGTGTCAACCGGTTTACAATCAAGCATTCCGATTTTAGCTAATAAGTCTAGAACATATTTTCTTTGAGACAGAAATATACCCCGTTTAGATTGCGCTACTTCTATCCCCAAAAATATTTCAAACCACCAAGATCTTTCATCTCGAACTCGGTTGCTAGGTAATCTTTAAGCCTTGACATTTCCTTTTTGTCATCACCCGTAACAATCATATCGTCCACATAGATGATAAGTGCCGTCAATTTCCCCATTCTACGTTTCAAGAAAAGTGTATGATCGGAATTGCTCTGCCTGAACCCATATTTCCTCATAGCCGTCCGGAACCTCCTAAACCATGCTCGAGGTGATTGTTTCAACCTATACAACGCTTTATTCAACTTGAATACTACTCCGGGTTGTAAAACAGATGCATAACCAGGTGGAATATCCATATACACTTTTTCTTTAAGATTACCATGTAAGAAAACATTTTTCACATCAAATTGATGTAATGGCCAATCTAAGTTGGCCGCCAATGAAAGCAATACTTTTACCGTATTAATCTTGGCTACCGGGGCAAATGTCTCTGTATAATCAACACTATACGTCTGAGTGTATCCCTTGGCCACCAATCGTGCTTTGTATTGTTCAACAGACCCATCAGCTTTGTACTTGATGGTGTACACCCATCGACACCCAACTCTCTTCTTTCCTTGGGGAAGTGGAACTAAATCCCACGATTGATTATTCTGGAGTGCAGCCATTTCTTCCTCCATTGCCTTGGCCAATCGATCATCAGATAGTGCCTCCTTCAATGAACTTGGTGTGCTATCATTGGATATTTTTTGTACAAAAGCTTTGCCGGGTTCTGATAACTTTTATGATGACACATAGTTGGCAATGAGGTATTTAGAGCCTTTTGTTGTGTCTGGTGAATATCGATTGGGTGGTTTTCCCCGGTTGTGCCTGAAAGGTAATTGATAATTCGGAATAACAGTATCATCAACATGGATAATAGAGCTTACCTCAGGAATATTCTCAGAAGTATGGTTATCTGGTGGTACTATATTTGGAGATGAGGGAGGAGTAATATCAGTAGAAGTCTCAAAGTTGACAAGTGGCACTGTTGCCGTGGGTGAGGACGGTATTACCGTGCCTGCCGTTGATTCTGTAGGCAGCACTACGACTGCTGTTGGCTGAGTTGGTAGCGTAGGCTAATGGCAGCAGAAGATCAATACTATCATTCCAATCCTTCTTATGATGCTGTGTCTCCCCCTGATGAGGAGGATTGGAAGAATCTGAAGGGTAATACATCTCAGACTCGGAAAAAGTGACATCCATAGTAACATACATTTGACGGGAATGAGGGTGGTAACAACGGTATCATTTCTCATGGAGTCCGTGCCCCATATAAATACAACGGAGAACACATGGTTCAACTTCGTCCGTTGATTTTTATGAAGATGAACAAATGCAACACATCCAAAAACCTGAGGTGGGAGTACCATAATCGACAGTAGATGCACGAAAGTAGCAAGGACTTGTAAGGGAGTAAGAAAATCCAGGACTTTGGATGGCAGATGGTTGATAAGATAAGTGGCGGTTTGAAGAGCAACATCCTAAGAAGAACGGGGAACAGACACCCCAATCAAGAGTGAGCGAGCCGTTTCTAAGAGATGATGATTTTTGCGCTCAGCCACCCTGTTTTGTTAAGGAGTCTGAGGACAAATAGTTTCGTGAAGAATTCCGTGATTAGTTAAATAATGGAAAATTTCATTATTAACATATTCACCACCATTATCAGAACGCAAAATCTGTATTGTAGTAGAAAACTGTGTCTGAACCATGGTGTGGAAGGTCTTAAAAGCCGAAAAAACATCACTTTATGCTTAAGAAGATATAACCACGTCATCCGTGTGCAATCGTCTATGAATGTTACAAACCATCGAACACCAGATGAAGTAGTAATTGAAGATGGTCCCCAAACATCCGAATGAACAAGACCAAAAGGAATAACACTTTTATTAGAATTCAGCGGATAAGAAACACGGTGACTCTTGGCAAGTATGCAAGTGTCACATTTAAAGTCTGAAACTGAATAACCAATAAATAAATCCGGAAACATATGCTGCAAATAACTGAAAGATGGATGACCCAAACGGTGGTGCCATAACCATATCTAACGCCTTTTGTGATCAACAGCTCATTGGGCGAGAGTGACCCGTCCTGTACTGACATCATCCACAAAATAGAGATCCCCCTTTAGTACCATGACCAATTATCTCATTTGTGAGAATATCTTGTATAAGACAAAACTTTGGATACATTAGCACACAACAGTTCAATTGTTCAGTACCTTGGCCAGGAGACATCAATTTATGCTTTAGTGAAGGTACAAGTACTGCATAAGGCAAAAAGAGAGTGGGCGTGAGGCGCACGGTGCCAGCTTCAGTTACTGGTGAGGTGACTCCATTAGCATTAGTAATACTACGTCGGAGTGGAACAGTATCACAAGCTAAATCAGTGGGATCATAAGTCATATGGTCTATGGCACCAGAGTCAATGATCCATCCGAATGGAGTAGCATCACTATTCATATTAAAAACATAACCACAGTTACCTGAGGACTCCGGAGACATGTCAGAAGAGCTCGAAACCGGAGAAGGATCATCTTGAGATATCAAAGATAATTGGGACATAGAGGTGGCGAGATTAGCTTGCCCAAGCTTAGCTTGCTCGTCTCATTCCTGTTATTTCTGAAGCTTCAACGGTTCCCACCAATCAGGATAGCTATGCAATTGGAAGAAATTATCACAACCATGTTTCTCACTACCGCATTAAGTACAACCACTAGTCGGGACAAGTGGTTTAGGACGAGGAGGATGGGGACCTATGGTGGGCCGTGAAGCCGGCCTAGCAGCAAAGAGCGAGCCCTGTGCTAGACTTGAGGTAGTAGTCTGGGGTTGCAGTCCTGGGCTTGGTGCAGGTGACTTATCGGGGGCACGGGGACGAGGTGAAGCTATGGCTCGTGTGGCAGGCCGAGCCACCATGGCTGCCCCACTTGGTAGCTGTCCTCCGGTATTCATAACAGCTTGTCGCATTCACTCTCGGCGAACATAGGCAAAAGTTTATTCGACGGAAGGAAGAGGCTCAGTTCGTAGAATATCACTACGAATTTTATCAAACATCTCATCCAATCCTGCAAGCAAAGTGTACACACGATCCGTTTAAACAATTTTATTAAAAATTTCAATATCAGTACCGCACTTCATCGGATTAGGTCGACGATAATCAATCTCCTGCCACAAAGATTGAAGATCATTATAGTATGTCTCCACCGGTCGTCCATCTTGCCTCATGCGAGAGGCCTTGCAAGTAAGATTATATACTTAAGATATATCAGAGCCGTCATAATACGTGCGAGCAACCGCATCCCACACTTCCTTTGCTGTCGATAGTCGAAGAAAGTACCCAATCAAATTGGGTTCCATAGAGTTGATAAGCCAACCCTTCACAATAGCGTTCTCTGTACGCCATTTGGTGAAGGTCGGATCGTCGATAGGTGGTTGGGGATTACCCCCAAACAAGTAGCCCAACTTGTCTTTTCCAGCAATAAACATCTCAACAATCTGAGACCAAACTCCATAATTGGCACCATTGAGTTTGATGCCAATCGAAGCAGTAGACGAATCATGATGGACAATCTGTGTAACTTGCGATATAGGTAGGGTAGGATTCATGGTAGGGTCGGTTAGGGTAGTAGTGTTTAGTGTATGAGTAGAATCGGTTAGGATGAGGTTGTTTCCACCATGGAGTAGTGGTAGGTTTTCCATGGGAGGGCCGAGTTTGTTTAAGGGAACGGGCAAAGCAAAAATCCTAGGATCTCTGTTCTGATACCATGCTAATTAGAGCTTATCTTTGGGGCTTAATTTTCTGATATCAGTATTCTCACCAAGAAGGAAAATATATAATGTACAAGAGTGATTTACAAGGAAAGAAATAAACATCAAATAACCTAATTACAATCTGATTATAAGGACTCAAAAAAGTAACTAAACTAATTACGAAAGGTCAACTCTCCAACAAAAGATAAAGGGAGAAGCCCTCTTAGCAGAAAATCCCCCGATGATCAACACGTGGAAGACAAAAAGCAGAGCAAAACCAAAAAATAAAATAACCAAAGGTAAGGTGGAAGATAGCTGGGATTCTCACTATTTTTAATATTTGGTTTCCATGCAGTCAAAATTTTTTATAATTTTTTATTGTGTTATGTGCCACAAACCTGGATTAACTCATTTTTTAAAATATTTGTTGTTAGTTTTTTTATTATTATTTTATCTTTCTTTGTGCCCACACTCTGCAGGAGACTACATTCAAATGTTTTTATAATATTTTATTGTGTTCCGTGCCATCTACTGCAAGAGACTCGGCGTGGAAGACAAAAAGCCGAGCAAAATAAAAAAATAAAATAATCAAAAGGCAAAGCAATGGGGACAGTAGGGTTTCTCACAATTTTTAATAATTATTTTGTCCATGAATTCAATTTTTTTATAATTTTTTATTGTGTTGTGCACCACAAACCATGTGGCCTAATTTAAGTCATTTTTTAAATAATTTTTTGTCAGTTTTTTAATTAATTATTTTATCTTTCTTTATGTCACAACTCGACCATTATAGACATGCAACCTGGGAGGACAAAGGATGATCAACACGTGGCAATCATGGGCAATACAGGTATTTTATTGTGTGAAGCAAGGCAGCAAAACGATAATGGACCCAAAAAATCAGCGGCATTTCCGCCCTTTTACTATTGCTGAATAGTGCTAAAACTCAACTGAGTTTTAGTATATATAACTAGGAAATGTGTCCACACGTTGTTGCGGGAACGAAAATAAAATTATACAACATATCATGAAAATTCAAATGTACAAAAATGTTGAGTAACACCATTAACATAAACATAATAAAGACTGCATATAAAATGTAGTCAATATTTTTACAGGCCAGTGTTTATAGTAGTACAATTTAGGCAAAAAATATTAGGAAACATTTTGACATGGATGTACTAAAGTGATGAGTCTGACATTTCCCCTGGTAGCTATCTTAGGTGTTGATCAGTATCAGTAGTTGCAGGTGACAGATTTGAAAACGTCAAATTGTTCATGTGCACAAAAAATAGGGGTATCGATGTTATGGTGGCCTACTTACACGCAAAAAATATGGAGAAGCACTGTTATTGTTTTAACATCTTAAAGATGATCAGACTCTTTTCTATAGCAGCAAAAGTTTGTTCCTTCTGGCAGTAACTGCCAATAAAAGATGTGCAGATGGACAAAAAAATTACATAGACTTGAAAAAACCAAGAATGGCAATAAACACCAATCAAAACGTAATAGACTTGAATTAAGCGGACACCACACCAAATCACATTGATAACCATTGAATACTAAAAGAAAAATCAATTGAACACTTCGAGGAAGGCATCAACTATATTGCCATTCACATACACTGCCAATAATTATATGCAAATGGCCACATTCATTATACAGAGCAGTTGAGAAAATGAAGAATGGCAGCCAATACCAGTCAGAATACAATAAACGTAAATTAAGCCAAGACTGCACTAAATCACATTGATAACCATCATATGCTAAAAGATTAACTGAACACTGTAAGTAAAGCATGAACTACATTCCCATTCGTACACACGGCCAATAATTATGTACAAAATAGGAATGGAGCAAAGTTACCTAGTTTTTTTTTGGTAGAGGAGGGTCTTTTTTCATGCTTGTTGGAAAAGATGTTTTTTTCAACAATTTGATTGGAAGCTGATCAAAATCCTGCACGTCTTCTTCAGAGACTTCCTCTGTCTCACTGTGCCAAAGATATTAAAGAGATAGGAAAAATAGATTTAGATCAAATTGAAAATAATTTGAGAATGAGAACAAAATGATGTGATGCAGAATATAACCTGTTTTCAGGCTCTGTAAAAAGGGCTCTCTTGATTGAATCTCTTTTCCACTTGTGCGTTTGTCCGGTTTTTTCAGCTGGTGTAGTGGACGATGAAACTGTTGTCGAAGACACTGCAATTTCTTTCATAATAGACTTTGGTGTTGTTGGTTGGATCATTGTGTCCTCATAAGCATTGTAGATAAGGAGATCATTTGAATTCAACAAATTTCGTCAGCTTCCAAATCAGAGGTGAAAATTTTTCCTTTGGCCTATAAGTCTGAGAAACTCACTTGACAATTGCTTGTGATCTGTTGATCTTTGATTGTAAACCAAATCTTTGCAAGGCTTGCCAAAGACCTTTTCGCCTGATTTGCCGATAATGAGAGCATTGATCTCATTTGTTTCGTCTTGAAGGAGCAAGAACACTATGTACCTTTATTCAAATAGAAAAAACATCAATTACAGAGGATAAATAGTGTAATAAGTCCAGAACTGCGTTCTCATAGATTTTTCTATGGTATGGTTTAATGTTAGTACTAATCATATGAAAAATAAAAGGATAGGTATGCAAAGTTTGATTTCAAATTTAATTAAATTTATGGCTTGTAATTTTGTTACATGATCAATGAACTATTTATTGAAAATACGTAATTAAAAACAAAATAAAGGATAAGTTTCAGTTTAAGAATGATATGAGACAATGACCAATTGACAAACGCAACATATAGGGTTTAACTCATTACCAAGGAGTTGGCATTTGATTTGTATGTTTTTAGCACATCAGTTGACCAGTTGCTGGGTCCTTGTACATTTGTTTGGCATATGTAGGGCAAGCATCATACCACCATTCATATGATGTGTTAAACCGCTTAATTGATGCCTTGCACAAAAATGTGTCATCCTGTTAGATATCCAGAAAGATGTTTAGATAGTTAATAATCATGAAATAGAAAGCTTATGTAAAAGAAGTAAAATACCTTATATAAATCTGGGTCTAAGTAGCCCAACTCTTCAATTGTAACCATTTTTCCAGTCTGTAAAGCATCAGTTTCTCTTGCCTGATTAGAGGGAGGGAGTATTGTAACAGGGTGAGGCAAGCCAGAAAACTTGCAACAGTTTTGAGAAAAGAATAGCTATTTTTCTTTTAATAATTGTAGGTGTGTTATGATTTTGATTGTATGATAATGAATGAACTTACACTGTTTTATATGTATTTAATTCTGGAATTTCTAGATCAACAAAGAAAATGTTGCATCGGTGTTGTCGAGGATGATGCTTTATGTATTAAAAAAAAAAAGGAAAAAAGAAGAAAAAAGAAGACAAAAATGAAAATGAAAATAGAAAAAAGGAAAAAAGATGTATCACTGGACATTGTAAGCAGTTATGTAAATGACTAATCCAAACCTATACTGATTTTTTAAGAACAAAATTAAAAGACATCGAACAAAACATATGTATGAACACTATGTTGTTCAAAGACTACATAACAACATAACAATTTTTATTTTCACAGATCAAAATATTTATGTTATAAACGCGCAGGTTAGCTGTACTTGTTTTAAAAAATAGTTGAAAACTCAATAAAACTATCCAACACTGTCTAGGAAAAACAGGAAAACAAAATTTGAAAATTAATCAGGCATGTAAACATCTGGAAGAAAGAATAGCAAAAAAATGATTTCTTGATTGAAATACATACCTCCAAATAGCTTGACTTTCAAGCTCGTAAAAACAATAATTCTTGCTTCAGGCAGTGAATGGAACGTTAAAGAAGTAAAGTTGTGTACAATGTTTGACCACAATGTAATCTTAGCTTCGTCTTTTCTACCAAATAAAATGATCAAAAAAAGGTAATGAAACAGTGATAAAAATGTCACAGAATTTTTTATCCAAAATAGATTAAATTTTTTTTAAGAAAAGTATATGATTGCCTAATGTGATAAGAGCCAAAACAAGTGTTTGGATATCGACGATATACATAGTATTGATGCAGAAAACAATTAAAAAGTGTGTTGTGCAGAGGAAATAACCTGATATTTTGAATAACCACATCACACTTGTGATCAATTCTTCGGTTCACTTTTACGGGCTCCAAACGCTGGACTCCAACCACATGACCAATAACATCTGCAAATTTGAAAAAAGAAAGAAAACCAAAACATAATTAGGTGAGGACAAAATGTTTCATAAAACATGTATCAATGCACTGTAACACAGCTATATATACATGTGTACATATTTATTACCTTTTAGGATATCAGTCTTGTTCAGCCTAGGATACAATCTATTATAATCTTGCAAAAAAAATCTGTGATGCGGAATAAGCGGAAACACATTTGTCAACTTGTTAAAAACTGTTCTGCTGGTTAACACGATATGGGTGTCATGCGGGACTACTCGATATTGGCCTCTCATTTTGTTGATACGAAAATTCATAATCTCGTAGCAAGCACCTACTTCAATTTTTGAGACTATTATATCATAGTCCATTTCGTCAGAAGACACTTCTATTGCTTGTTCCTTGATAACCAAACACTGCGAAAAGAAGAAAAAGAAATTGTCAAAGATATCATGAATAGGTAAATAACAATGAATTTGAAACTTAAAATAATATGAAAACATTATAGACTAAGATGAATACTAAATACTGAAAGCCAAGTTATCATTGTAATTAACAATTTAAGGGCAATGGATACCCATAAAAAAATTACATGTCACATCGACTTAACATGAGAGTTCATATATTTAATACTTGAAATAATATGAAAATAAATGTAAATCACAAATATTAGAGAATAAAATGGATAGTAAACATCAAGAGTGAATTTATTAGTGTAATTAACAGGTTAAAGACAATGCATATGCACCTAAAAAAAAAGTTCTTGTCACATAAAGTCAGGATGATAACTAACATGTAATTTTTCGATAGAAAATGAAAGAATACAGAGATCAGAAATGAATTGGAGATTATGTTTATCCTAGAGAGTAAAAATGTCATGTGATGTGTATTAGAACAAATATAAAATTCTTAACATGTGCTGAAGAGCCTATCAAACAATATTATTAAAGATTGTTTACTGACCCTTTCATCAACTAATACATAGTGTAGACCTGCATATTTATTAGTCATACCTGAAAATCTTGGTCTCCATATTCTGCAGATACGAACTTTAATTTTTTTCAATTTTTTCATACGCGACCAGTCGATCAAGAGGAGTTGGACCTCGATCTTCCATTTTAAACTGCTGAAATAAGATTCAAGGTTTGTGAATTGACAAATAATGCAGAAAGAAATTTCAAAGAGGCTGAACAATGATGTAACAACTACACTTCCAAAACTATAGACCTATAACAGTTTGTTTACAAGCGTAACTGATTAAAAGAATGAGATTGCCAAAAGAAAACGCAGCATGACCACTGCTTAACCGAAAGAAATATCAATTGAACACTGCGAGGAAGGCATCAACTATATTGCCATTCACATACACTGCCAATAATTATACACAAATGGCCACATTCATTATATAGAGCAGTTGAGAAAATCAAGAATGGCAGCCAGCACCAGTCAGAATGCAATAAACTTAAATTAAGCCAAAACCGCACTAAATCACATTGATAACCATCATATACTGAAAGATAGATTAACTGAACACTGAGTAAAGCATGAACTACATTCCCATTCAGAGACACTGCCAATGATTGTATACAAATGACTAATCACAAAATAACCAAACAACTCTTTCCAAAAACCAGAAAAACAACAAAGAAAAATCCAAAAGAAAACGGAAGAAAGAAGAACAAAAGTAGAGATACTACCTTGTGGCGAAGACTGACAGGTATAAATTTTTATTGTTTGTTGTGCCACAAATCATGTGGTCCAGTTTTAATCATATTTTTTAAATATTTTTTTTTGTCTTCCCATCGGATATATCGGTTTAAAAAGTTATTAAGGTATAAAAATTTTAGGGGTGTGTTATCTACACATTTTATTTTACTTTTCACACCCCTTGATAATTTATATTCGTAGATCTTCTTCAATTTATCCGATCTGTTAGTCGAAAATTAAAAAGATGTGTGAAAAGTAAAATAGCATATATATGTGGATATCACATCTCAATTTTTATTGTTTGTTATCACAAAAAAATTATTAAAAAAATGTACAATGATAAATTATACATATCAAACCATGTGGCATGATTTAAGTTATATTTTTTAAATAATTTTTTGTCAGTTTTTTATTAATTATTTTATTTTTCTTTGTACCGCAACTCGATGATCATAGACACGCAATCTAGAAGGACAAAAGATGATCAACACGTGGCAATCATGGGCAATATAGGTATTTTACTATGTGAAGCAAGCAGCAAAATGGTAATAGAACGAAAAATTCAAGGGCATTTTCACCCTTTTACTATTGTTGAACAATGCTAAAACTCAACTGAGTTTTAGTATACATAAATTTTTATCACATTTTTTATTATTTTGTTTTTGTTTTTTATAAGTTTTTATTGTATGTTGTGCCACAAACCATGTGGCCGGAATAAATTGTTATTGTTTATTATGCCATTTCACATTTTTTTAAATTTTTTTGGTCTTGCCAGTTGCCACAGCATCTTTATCACATTTTAAAATTTTTTATTCCATTTCAGTTGAAACCTAAACCCTAAATAGGCACAAATGTTCAATTCTTATAGACAAGCATCACCAACAGTGTGTGCATACTACGGGCCAAATGATCCCGATGACCAACACATGGAACGCGGCGGCAGACAAAAGTGGAAGAAGCTGGAACCCTAGAAAACACAATACGCACGCACGGACAGAAAGAAAAATGAGAGAGGGGCAAAATGGCCAATTCATCATTTAAGCCGAAAAAACATGAAGAGCAAAAGGGACAAAACCGGTGGAGCACTGTTAATAAACAGTAGTTTTTCACCGGGTTTTAGTATATAGATAATTTACCGAGTTACTAAGTCGGTTAACATAGATCAAATTCATCCTAGCCACATCCTTTAGTTATTCTAGATTTTACAACACAAGCCATTTTTCTAGATATTATTCTAGCCTAAGTCAACCGACTTGGCTTTTTCAAATTGATGCTACTTTGCTAGAGTTTTCTAGCACAACACTTTTGTCTGGCATAGTCAAGCATGCACCGGCCACCTTAATAGTACTTGCCAGGATCTTCTAGAACAATTCCAAACACCAATTGGGCTGGTGTTGATCTTCAAGTAGCTTGAGATCTCTGGTTTCAACAATATTAAGTACAAATAACTTCATCTAATAGTTCATCAAAGATCAATAATAAATAGGTTTATTTACAGATCACATAATAAATAGGTTTATTTATAGATTTGCCCTTTAAACTGTCTTTTAGTCTCACTTTGTCCTTCAAAATTGCCTAAATCGAGCTATTTCACCGTATTTCCATCAATTCTGTCACAACGTTAAATGGAAGAGCATTCTAAGCATTTCATACTACGCTAGTGGCAATGAGGTATTATGGTTGGCAAGATATGAAATTTTCAGACTGCCCTAAACCTCTAAAACTGCCAAATCACTGCTAGCGTGGAAGTAAATAGGTGAAATGGCTCGATTTTGGCAATTTCAAGGGTTAAAGTAAGACAAATTCTGTTTCAAGGGATAAAGTGAGACCAATGACAGTTTTAGGGGCAAACAATAAATAAGGCTAATAAATATTTTCGAAACTATTATAGGGTTCATTAGGATTTGAAGTTTACTATCTAAGCAAACTTATTGAAGTTCTATTCATGATCTTACTATTACATTACTCCAAATTTGAGACTTTGCGCAATATTAATCTAATGTTGAGCTGCACGATAGAAATTCCCGGCAATTAATGAAATGTAGTGGAAGTTGGAAGTAGAGGTGTTATATAGAGAAATGCAGCTATTACAAGAAAAGAAAGATTGGCAGTAATACAGGATAAACGACTGGTGCCATCTTCAACACTTACCACAAATTTTGATTGAAATTCTACAAACTCCATCTATTAGACCAATCATCGTCGAAATTATATCCGCTTATAAACATCAATAGATTAAAGCTAAGGAATAAGAAGCCGCGTAATGATGCAGGTACGTAGGCAACTGGAACATCCATGAGAGGAGCAAGGAGCCCTATTATGAAGACCGTGAAGAAAAATCCCATGGCATAAACAAAGATGCGAAGCCATAAAACGTGATACACTGTCAATGCAACACCAGCCAGGAATGACGAGGACATCATGGTAAGTGTTACGCCTAGCACCGGTAAGGTAAATCTCATGCAAGCATAGATTATATTAGGGTCATGCGTTTGTGCCCACATAAGGGCAATTGAAGTAGTAATGGAGCCGCACATCGCCACGGTATTGCATATCAAGAAAATTTTGAATAGGCTATGCGTAAGAAAAATTGGGGTGCCCACATCATTTCCAGAGCTACTGTATCCACCTGGTATTGTGAAGCCTTGAACAAACGTTATACCAACCACCAGCGTTGATACTAATAGGAGAGTATTGACACTTTCTTTCGAAAACATTAGGTTATCGGAATTGTGCAAGGACTTCATAACAGAATCCTCTATCACTAGCTTTGCTTTGTCGGCTGTTCTCTCTTCAGATCGTGGAGCATTAGCCAAGTTCAAGGCCATAAGTGTCAGTTTCTGCAAGAAAAGCGAAAGTTTCAGTTCTTGACCAAGTTGTTATCAATATGAAGATCATACATGACAAACAAGAGAAACGATTATTAAAATAAAGGCCATAAGGGTTAGCTTCTGCAGGGAAAAATCGTGTGTAATCAGGATATCCTCCCCTCTTTATCTCTCTCATATGCAATAAGAGGGATAACAAGGGGATACATATACCTCTGGTTATTACGTTGTAGAATTCTCCCCTATGTACGACATACTTGTAGGTAGTTGTAGTGTCACACTGTGTAGGTAGAGGAAACTAATCGAAAAGATGCGTAGAGAAATTACATACTCTCCGAAACAACATCTCTTTATCTACCTCCGTCTTCTCTGCAAGGTCCAATGCCGTCATACCTGCATTATTCAAACTATTTAAATTGACTCTCTCATACGCATGGAAGAGGGAAAGAATTTTGACAATCTTAGGATGCCAGTTTTGGACGGCTATATGCAGAGGGGTATTTCCACTTTGATCTCTTTGCTTGCTAAGCACTTGAAGATTGCGCTTTCCAATAATATATCGGACAACATTAACTCTTCCATGCGCGGCCGCAACATGAAGAATATTCCGGCCTTCACGGTCACATGACTCCCTCAAGTCCGGGCAAAGATTGAGAAACTCTTCAACAACCCTGCAATGGCCTTTTTTGGACGCCACATGTATGGGAAGGAACTGATTTTCATCACCTTTGTATGCCAATCCAGTAAATTTGTGTAACAATACCCGTACCGCCACAAAGTTACCTATATAGGCCGCAAGTGTAAGAGGAGTCATCCACTCTTGGTCCGTTGAATTGATTAGATCAGCTGAATCCATTTTGCTCAATATCGTCTCTAGGAGATCTACATAGCATATGCATTTTAAAAGCAACTCTGTCAAGAATAAGTATTTATGAAGAGAGAAATAAACGAAAGGTAAATTGTCATAATGCCATATTACAAAGGTAAATTGTCATTTGTGTAAGAAAATGATTTTGATGAGCCATGTAGATAAAACGTTGCTCCTGCTCCAATGGTATGTGCAATTAAGTAGGAAAATTTTGCTCATTCCCACAAAGTAAGCAATATTATTGACTACAATATTATATGCTGATGACATGAAAATGGTAAAGACAGAGCCATACTTGTATACTTCTTTCTGTTGGTTCTGGGCAGCCACCATTGAGAAACTATACGCTTAAAAAACATCCAGCATACAACCCCCGCCAGCAAAGAGAATGCACTGATGGGATCGTATAACATGAGCATGACCAACACGAACACTACATTATTTTTCTTGAGTCCACCTTTTGCTATATATGTACCCCATGCCAAAATTTAAAAAGAATACTCATTACTAGCTATATGTACCAAAAACAAAAAGTACTCGCGAGTATACCCAAAAGGAAAAAGGTAACTACAAATGCTTAATATTTACCCTGTTTCCTCCATATGATTGCACTACGAAGAATTGAGTTGCCGTTCGATCCTTGCCAAAAATTACCAGAATTAGCTTCTACTGTGCTATTTGGCGTGTTGGCTACCATTGCTTTAACGAGTTCAAGATTGGCAGTTTCAGCGGCCATGCACAAGGGAGTCTTACTGGAGTTATTTGTAGAATGCGACGTGGATCCATCTTTGCCGACCAAAAACATAGCCACATCTTGGTGATTATTTTCCACAGCGACATGCAACGCAGTGTTCCCTCTCCCGTCCTTTTCATTAAACGTATTACCTTGAGCCGTGTCAACCAAACAACGAACTGCGGATATATGGCCAGCGGATGCAGCTACATGAAGTGGAAGTTCTCCATCATCATTTTGTTTGCGGACAAGCCCCGGGAAATTTAGGGTAATTAGTTGGATAAGCTGCACGTGGCCTGTATTTGCAGCAAGGTGAAGCACCGTGTTCCCACGGGTGCTTACTTTGTTTTCACTACTTAGGACCAGCGATGCTATTTGATCAGGAATATTACATATAGGTATTGCACATGTGGCTCCGGCAAAATACTTTGCGCGCATAGCCCATATAAACTCTTGACATCCTGATTTAGGCATCGTTGCATACCTGTATAATTTAGGATCCATGCGCGTGTCGCCTGCCTCGGTGTCTCCTGCAGCGTTCTCATGAGCACCCTCGCCAGTTATTTGATCATCTTGTCTTGAACTCCAGCCAACATCCTCCATTGCTATTTAACCTTGTCTTAAACTCGAAGCAGCCATTAATTTGCAGATTAGCCACATAGGTGCTTTTTCCACGGAGAAAATATGACTCTTGTTTACCGTACGATTTCTGGAATCTTGAGTCTTGCGCATTTAATTTTGAGGGGGGTCCTCCATGTGGAAGACTATTGTTGCCTTCCAATGCAAGTTGCGGAACAATCATATACGACAACGTGGTTGACTGACCAAAAAAACAAACAAACTAATGATACATTTATTACAATTTTTTTATATAATATTTGTATAATCTCTTTAGTAAGTGTAGCAACATACGTAGATTCTATACAAAAGTGATATATTGTAAGAATATCATCTTTGAAACAAAAGAAACCGTAATCATAAGGAAAACTGAACAATGCAGCTGGTTTGTCTATATTTTTACTTTAATATGTGACATGAGCCACAGCTACTTATGACGTGTTTAGATATGTGACATGAGTGACACCGACTGCCGACATAATTTTCAACCGGTCATCCAAAAAGTTAACTGAAACCACAATTTTTACAAGAGAATTTCGGAGCACAATGCAATTTTATAAAGATATTTTTCGTCCAAGAAACAATAAGGGAATGAAAAGGAAAAATTAAAAGCTTACAATAAGACAATATTGTATCTAAGTAATGTATTTTTCTCAATTATAGATTAATGCAATTCAGTAGAATATATGAACATCAATCTGGGGAAAATTTTCTGAATAGAAAAGCATACGAGGATCGAGAGAGAAAAGGTGAAAAGAGAAGATATGGGGAGTAGGATAGAGAGCCAAAACAAAATTAATTATTGAAGAGAGAATTGAAAAAATTTCATAATTTTCATATACCGTTACATGAGGAGCGAGATAGAGAGATTTGCAGAGCCGAAGGCTAGTGGTAGAATATGGGACACACACACGTGAAAGACAAGAACAAAAACAAAAAGTCCATCAGATTGCAAAAGCTGATGGATAATGGACGGTTATCCATTCTTGCAAGGATATACACAGAAATGAAAAGGATAGATTAACAAAGAAAGAAGCCCCAAAAATCACAGTAATGAGCTTCATTTTCATTTCATTTCGGGGGTTCCAACGTAGAGAGTGCTTGTGATACAATTATTTAGATTGGAGAATTTCTGGCGTGACTATAATGTAAGCAGTTTAATAAAACCTATAAGCCAGAACTATATCAACTAGGTACTAGGATCACATGACAATTCCTTCTCCAAGTAGAATACATCATTTACCAAAAAGTAATCATATGAACACTTACCTGTGTTCAATGCCATGTTTGAGTTTCAAGCTAGTCTTCTACTCCCACTACTCAATAGTTCCCTTACTGTGTGAATAGGTCTCATTAGTCTCTTAGGGTTTTTCACGTATGGGAGCAGGGACTACGACTTGATATATTTATATATATATCAGTTAGGGTTACACCACCGGCCTATCAACGGTTGTATACCCTTATTAGAATCATATCATGATTCAACATCTTTGCATTAAACCTTTATCAGGATTTGTTTAAGTTAGTTGCATGGATATAAGACTCCATAATCCTTATGAAGTAGAGACCATCTATATCACTCGTATATCAGATAACTCGTAGAACAAGTTACTAGTTATCCAAGCAATATCAAACACTCATTGTCATTCATTAGAACTTTACATTCTCCCACTTGAATGTCAATGAGAAATCTCAACCCACAAGGACTCATGGTGATCGCTGAGCCTTCAAAATTTGCAACCAACTTCCCTTGACAACGTGTCACTAAAAGTTGAATGTCGAACCAAGGAAAACAAAGAACAAGTCAGTCTGTACTTTGCACTCCATGATTACATGCACATTTAACTTAAAGCACAATGTTGCCAGCAAAGTCATGATGACAAAAACCATTAAACAAAACAATGGTTCACAAAATAAGCACATTAGCTGTTAAGATAAAATATGATTGAAAACATCAAAACATACTATATGTTGATTGAATCAAAATAATTAGAGTACTGACCAACAAAATAAACATATTCAAGCATGACTGTCACAGTTAATCAAGTGTTTGCTCCCACTCATTAACTGATTCAAAAGTCTCTCTAACACCCATATTGAAAACATGGTTCTTGAATACTCCCACTAGTAAGGCTTTAGTCATGGGATCTGCCACCATAAGAGTCGTGCTTATATGTTGAATATCGATAGTCTATTTCTTAACTTTATCCATCACCTTCAAGTATTTCATGTCCATCAATATGTTTGCCAAAGATCTCTTGTTGTTCTTCGAGAAAAACACAGTTGCCTTATTATCACAAAACAACTTTAATGACCTATCAATTATGTCCACAACTTCCAATCCTTTTATCATATTCCTCAACCACATTGCTTGCTTGGTTGCTGCATAACAACCAATGAATTCAACTTCCATTGTTGACGATGTAATCGACTTTTGCTTGGCACTTTTCCACGATATCACACCACCAACAAGTATGAATAAATATCCATTGGTGATCTCCTATCATCAACACACCCTGCAAAATCTGAATTAGTGTAGGCCACCAATTCTAACTCATCAACTTGACTGTAGATAAACATATAATCAGCACTTTCTTGGCTGCAGCCCAATGAGCTACCCTAGGATTTGATTGAAATCTTCCCAGTATACTTACTGCAAATGGTAAGTCTGGCCTCGTGCATGCTTAAGCATATATTAAACTGCCCACAAGTGATGCATAAGGCTTGGTTTTCATGATGTCTCTTTCCAGATCATTCTTAGGACTTTGATCACTACTGAACTTGTCTCCTTTCCCAATTGGCAATTCACCACTGGAGCAATTTTCTATATTAAATCTCTTGGTTATTCTATCAATATAAAATCTTTGAGAAAGTCCAAGAGCTTTCTTGATTCTGTCTCTAACAATCTCGATTCCCAAAACAAGTTTGGCTTCTCCCAAATCTTTCATGTTGAAACTGTTGGCTAACATTTATTTGGTTGATTGTAGAAAAGTCATTTATGAACTAGCAATCAAACAACTTTAGAACCACTTATCTTGAGATACACACACTCATCCATCTTGTTTTCATGAAAGCCAAATGCAAACATAACTTGATCAAACTTCTTGTTCCATTGTTGATAGGCTTGTTTCAATCCATAAATGGATTTGTTTAATTTACAGATCATTGACTCCTTCCCCCTTTCAAAAAATCCTGGTGGCTGGTGCATATAGATGTCTTCTTCAAGATTGCCATTGAGAAAAGTGGTCTTAACATCCATTTGATGAAGTTCTAGGTCAAAATAAGCAGATAAAGCTAGAATCACTCGTATAGAATCCTTTGTGGACATGGGAGATAAGGTTTCATTGTAATCGATCCCTTCTATTTGAGTGAAACCTTTACCCACTAACCTTGCCTTATGTTTGTCAACATTGTCTTGTGAGTCTCTTTTGGTCTTAAAGATCCATTTGCAACCTACTGTCTTTGTAACATCTGCAGGTTTTGGTACAAGGCTCTAAACCTGGTTTTTGTTCATTGATTCAATCTCTTCAGTTGTTGCTTGGTGCCATAGTGGTGCCCTCATGCTAGTAATGGCTTGGTGATACGTGGCAGGATCATCTTCATCTCCCAAACTATATTCTGCTTCATTTAAGTATACAAAATCTGGAAGCATAACTGTTTTCCTAGTTCTTTGGGACCTTCTAACATTTTCAGCAGCTGGTACTTCAAGTGGAAGTTTATTTTCTGCAGTGGGGATATTCAGTAGCTGCTCATAAATCTCTTTATTTATGTCATTGGTTTCAGTAGCATTATGTGAAGTTCCCTCTTCAGTGAATGAGACATGTGCTTCAGTTTGTGTATCAAGTGGGATTGAAAACACTTGTGATGGAGAAATTGTTGACATCTACAATGTTATTTCTCGCTAATCAAACAAGGAAGTGTCATTGTTGCTCAGTTCTTCAAACTCAAGTGAATGTGAAGTAATGACTCATGAACTCAAATCATCATATTCTTCTACAAACTTTGCGTTGTGAGTTTCCATTATTCGAGAGGGACCATGAAGACAATAAAATTTAAACCCTTTCGATATCTCTGAATAACCAATAAACCTGCAACTTGTTATTCTCGGATCAAGTTTCCTTTCATTTGGATTATAAAACCGTGCCTCGGCTTTACAACCCCATATATGAAAGCGCTTAAAGCTTGGTCTTCTCCCAGTCCAGGCTTCAAAAGGCACTACTATCATTGACTTGTTTAGTACTCTATTGATGATGTAGTTAGCAATTTTCAACGCTTTCCCCCACAGAAATATAGGTAGATTTGATTGTGTAAACATTGATCGTATCATGTCTTTTAAGGTCCTGTTCTTCCTCTCCGCGCGGTGTATTGATCTACTATGTTGTTGTCTTGAATGTATGTAGCAAATGGACCTTTGTGCTGTCCAGCTTCAGTATATCTGCCAAAATACTCGCCACCTTTATTGGATCTTACTATTTTAATGTATTTTTCTAATTATTTTTCAACATCTAACCTGAAGACTTTAAAACAATCTAAAGCTTCAGATTTTTCAGAAATCAAGTAAACGAAAGCAAAGCGTGAAAAGTCATCAATGAAAGTGGTAAAATATGACTTTCCACATATGGTTTTGTTTGGAAAAGGTCCACAAATGTCAATGTGAATGAATTCAAGTAAATGTTGATTGTGGGTTGAACCTATTTTCCTTGTGTTGGTAAGTTTTCCATTAAAACAATCTGTGTAGGTTTGAAAATCATTAAAATCCAATTGAGGTAATAAGTTGTGTTTGCACAGAGTGATGATTCTTTCTTTCGAAATGTGCCCCAACCTCTTGTGCCAAAGAATAGAGGATTTTTCAAAAGTGAGCATCCTCTTAGAACCAATACTTTGAACATTAAAACATTCATGCACACATGAACATTCCATTTGCCACATATCAGTTTGTAAATGAGCAATACCAAGCAAGGAATTCATATTATTTGATTCGAAAAACCTTACACTTTTATCATCCCCAACAAAAGAAATACCTAGCTGAACTAACTTGGATGCATAAATTAAACTCCTTCTCATTAAAGGTACATAAAGTACTGGATTCAAATCTAAAATGAAACCAGATGACATAACTAATTTGACACTCCTAATAGACTCGATAGCAGCCTTACTCCCATTCCCAACATAGACATTGTAGACTTCATTGTTTACTTCCATTGTTTTTGAGAAGCCCTGCAAAGAATTAGTTATGTGAATGGAGCATCCAGTATCAAACCACCAACTTTCAAGAGGAATATAAATCAAATTAGACTCTACACAGACAAAAACATTTGTTATTTTACCTTTCTTTGTGAGCCAATTTTTGAAACCAATGCAGTTCTTTCTCAAATGACCTGACTCTTTGCAAAAACAACATTCCTTTTCCTTTTCTATCTCAGTGTTCACTGGTTTAAATTTGAAAGATCCTTTAGAGGTGTTAGCATTTTTAAAAGAAGAAGAAATTATATTTTTCTTCTTCTTACCAACGGAAAACGATGAACCAGCATTGAGGGGTTTGGTCCTTTTCTCCATTTGCACCAAATTCACTTCACCAGTCTTGTCAGCTTTAAGTTGATCCTCTTCTTGTACACACATTGAAATTAATTCATTTATCCCCCATTTGTCTTTTTGTGTGTTGTACGACACCTTAAGCTAACCATACTTAGCAGATAGTGAGTTTAAAGCCATATGAACCAAAAATTGATCAGTCATGGGTACCTCTAAGTCTTTCAGCTTCAGAGAAAGAT